CCCTACACCATTTACTACACTACACTACACTACCAATCCATCATACACCCTTTGACCTTAATGAACACCACCACACCTCATCGCATCATTCCGCTACACCATGTACCACACCACACTACCAATCCCATCATACACCCTTTGACCTTAATGAACACCACCACACCTCACCCCATCATTCCCCTACACCATGTACTACACTACACTACCAATCCCATCATATACCCTTTGAACTTAATGAACGTCACCACACCCCACCCCATCATTCCCCTACACCATGTACCACACCACACTACCAATCCCATCATTCCCCACCACAACTTACCCCATCATCCCTAACATCACTCTTTTTTTCACTTCACCCGCCTACACAGACATATCATCTTACCCCATCACAAACTACTAACCATTCTTCCTTCACGAAGTTTTTTTAACGTTGTATAAAATATTTTTTGCAGACAGTATCTGATCTAGATAATGAAGTAAAACAGCTCAAAGACGAAAATGCCAAAGCTATAACGAACCTTGAGAACCAGTTAGCAAGTGAATCAAGCAATAACCAGCAGTTACAGGTAAATAGTGGTTTGTCTCTCTAGATAAATACATTAACGCCTCGTTAAATTCATCAACGCTCGCCGCTCACCAATGCGACACGGGCTCGATACCCGGGCTCGGTGTCGTATTGTGATTATAATTTCGTGTTGGTTCTCTCCTATGCTTCGAGGGTTTTTGTCCCTCCGAAAAGAAAATCAACTTGTAAATTCCAATTGGAATGGCAGTGGACGAAGATAGAACTCTGTAAAAATGCCACTGTTCAATCCCATTTAATTTCAATTCATTTTTTACACTACCTACATTTCCAACATTCCGTTTACACGTTGAATCTCTGGCAACGGCATACAGCTATTTCAAGAAAGGTTGGTGAAGTTTTTGTTGCATGCAATCATATGGAATTTTATGAAATAACTGCTCTAAATCTTGCGTTCTAATTGGTTGGGAGCGCGTGCTTTTTGAGAGCGCACAGCACGCGCGCGCACTTTCAGTTTCTTCATCCATGTAACTTGTATTTATAAAAGAAATAGAATACTTGCTTGCTGTTCTGTGTGGAGTTATAGGGTACTTGGGAATTGGCAGATCACTAGAGAAGTTCTGCCGACCCCCGCGTGCCACGCGCGTGCGTTTTCTATTTCTTCATTTCCCAAACTTTGTTTTCACGTTTTTCTGGTATTATTTCTCCTGTACTGACATTATTGTCATATGAATATAGTATAATTCACACTTTGTGACCAAAAAACAAAATCTTCACCAACCTTTTGTGAAATAACTGTATCAAAGGAATGTCACAAGAAAAATTCCACTTGAACTAAAACAAACGAAACAAATCAAACAAACGAGAACAGAAGAGCCAAACATCTCAATAATCTTGGCGTCCAGTGGTAACAAGAGAGTTATACTCTTTTGGCCTCAGTCGAGCAGCACACAACTTCCAGCAACCTTTTACGGCATTGCGCATTGCTTAATGATGATTACGTCTGAAAGGTTTCGAAAGAGTATTTATCATAGAAGGTCGCAGCCTCGGACGAACAGCGCCAGCACGCGTTGTTTCCTTTTTTTACGCCTTCGTCTTGAGGCCTTGCGTCAGGACGTCATCTGTAGCTTTTGTCATATCTGGATGATGATGTTCCGCCCATTGATGCACTACTCTTGAAATACCCTTCCCCCGACCTCCGACCTCCGGTACAAGGCGGGGAATTAACGCAGTGATACCAGGATGTAACGCGCATTTAACAGCGTAAATGTACGGGTATACGCGTGGGGAATTTAACGAGTAATTCAACATTTTAGCAATTTTAAAGGACCTGTTACACGTTGAAAATTTTAGCTGAAACTTGCTTGCAACGGCGTTGCGAGACAAGTTTCACGGGGGTGTTAAACGGCGCAATTTAGACTTTGTGAAACTTTCGTCGCTAGAAAGTTTCACGAAAAGTAGAACTGCTTTCTACTCTCTACTCGTGTAACCGAAACTTGTGTCGGGAACAAGTTTCAGAACGAAATTGCGCCGTGTAACACCCCCGTGAAACTTGTCTCGGAACGCCGTTGCATGCAAGTTTCAGCTAAAAGTTTCAACGTGTAACAGGGTCTTAAACAGCAACAGCTTCAATAATTTTAATAATCTTTACCCGGGAACCGGGGAAAAGTGCTAATTTTAACCTACATGAATGTCAAACTCCCCGCCCTGTCCCAGGGGTTGGGGTGGGGTGGGGTGGGGGGGGGGGGGTTCACTTGACTAGTGCCCAACAGTGCTTCGTGTCATTTTATCGTTCTCATTCTCATTCAATAACTGTTCTTCGAAGGAAGAAGTAGAGGTCTTGACAGAACGCAAAGAAGAACTCAAAAGAGAACTACGAGAGAAGCAAGAAGACCTTGATAAGACGAAAGAGGGATTAAGGTGAGATAATCTTATATCTGATCTCTCCAATCCGAGACCTCAGATATAATCGTCAAACAAGGTACAAGAGAAAATGGGAATTGAGATGGGAAAAGATTATATTCATGCTGATTTGGTGTATTACTAAGAATGAAATTCATTTCTCTCTTGTTAAAATGCATGCAATGTCATCTGTTTCCCTCCCCTTCATCCTCCCTCCCCTCCCCTCCCCCTCCCCCCAGTGCTGCTACGCAAGCTATCCATTTTTTTGTATCTGTTCTAGGTCTTTGCGCGGCAAATGGCAAGAGAAAAGTGCGCTCATCACTCAAATGGAAAATGAAGTGGTTAAAATGAGAGACAGCTTCAAAGAAAAAGAGAAAGCATTGATTGACGAGAGAGACAAAGCTGTCACTGCCGGCAAGTAAGTAACCATTCTCTACTCAGCTAGAAATAATGGGTCCGATGGATTATCCATCCGTAAATCATTTATCTATTTATTTGTTTATTTGCTCGTTCAGTTGCGTCTCCAACTTCATGTTTATGTTTGCATTTTATTTATTCATTTATCAAGCTTATTATCAATCATCGTTATCCAACATTATGTACGTTCGTTCCACGGTTACGCAGTTATTCATCCATTTACTTGTTCAATTTATTCATTCATCCACCCATTCCATCTATCTATCCATCCACTGATGCTATCCATCTAGTTCATTTATTCATCCAACCAACCAACCAACCAACCTGATCACTTCCATCCATCCACCCACCCATCCATCCAACCATACTTCCCTCTTTCCATCCATCCATCCATCCATCCATCCATCCATCCATTTATGCAGAA